CCACATAGGAGACGTTGGTGACGCCGGTACTACTCATCGAATCAGTTTCCGGAAGCTCCGATCCCTTGTTGGCTTTAGGCAAGTTCCTCCAGGAAATTTTCATGTCCTTGAAGGCGTTCAGAAGGAAGATCCCAGCGATGATCACCAAAAAGCCGCACAAGTTTCCAACAATGTCCAGAGCGGGCATCTTTTCGAACTCTTTAAACAGAATGGCGGAGCCAGTGATGACGAATGACGTGAAGATGACGTAGAGAATGGGGGTGACCACGGCGGTGTTGAACGAGGCCAGCGCCCTGTTTAAAAAGTTCAACTCCAGAAGTATGCAGACGATCACGACGGCCAGAAGGACGTAGGTCATCCAGTTGGTGAACTCGTTGTCGCCACGAATTGTGGCGTTGATGGCTGTTCCAACACCTTTACTGCCCATGACGGTAAAGCACCCTAAAGTGGAGCAGATAGTAATGTACACGAGGACGTTCTTCTGGCCGTAGCGTGGAGCAAAGTAGAAAATGGATACAAGGGCGATAATGAGAAGAATAGCTGCGTAGACGATGAAGGCTGTGAACAGATTTATAAATATAACTCTATTATTAAAATAATTTTCATTATAAATAAATAAGTAATCTTCATTGTGTCAAAACAATATTAAAAACAGATTTCATATATCACTAATTATATTAAGCATTTTTAATGTATCATTCAAATGGAAATGTTATGCACCCATAGATAAATATCTTTAATAATCGCACAAAAGTGTGTACTGAGTGGTGAGACAGTATTACCGCCGCAATGTATCTTCCCTAAAATTTCAGAGCGAGATAATATGCAATTATATGACATTAAAATTCACGGTCATGTTGACCTTGTACAGTTAGAACACCTTGCATTTTCGGGGACTTGTATGTCTCATGTGTTATTTTATTGTAATTGTAGATACTATTTATGTATTAAAAAGGATTTTAATTGGAATATTATGGCATCTTATCAAAATCTGTGTGAATAACCTTAAAAGTGGATTAATAACCATCGGATCATTTATGTATAGAAGCTGTATTAATTTCGCCATCAAATGATCTATAGAGCAGATGATGTTAAGCTCATCTAGGTTGTTGTTTTTTTTTTGGGGGGGTGGGGGGGGTTTGGGGGCTAATGGTTAACGGGCAGGGTGTTATGTGGCCAGCACAACGACCAACCGCCTTTACTTTCGCCAACTAAAGTCAGGTACCCATTAGAGTTGGGTGGACCCAAGATCCCAGGTTTGGAAGCCAAGCGCTTAATCACTCAGATATCGCGCCCCAAGTCAGTTAATCAAATCAGTTTTTCAAACTTAATACGATATTAATAATCTTAAATGAATTTACAACCCAAAAAAAAAATAATATAACAGGTTTTGGTCTTTTTTAAAAATAAATTCCTCTCTCATCAATCTGTCAGTAGGGCGTTCCTCTACTAAGGGACGCGCTATATAGTTTGAGAAACGTTGATTTTATATTATACAGTAATCTTGTCAACTAACAGTTTTTTGGGGAACTCGGTGGAAAAAGTGTTACGAGAGCTTATCCTACTTCGTGCCGACTCCATTTACTTTTCAGATGCCATATATCATGCCATACTCACCAGGTTCTTTTATTTTTAACATCAAATCGTTGACACTGTGCACCTCTTGCTCCTTGGGAGAGTGGATGACCATCACAGTGGAGCCTAGGACACAGATCACGCAGCCCACTTTGCCCAGTATATTTAGCTTCTCTTTCAACACGCGGTCAGACAGTGCGGCACTGGAATGTAGACAAGGTCATTAATTAAGACGAAACAGTAACTTGTAATATATTTTTTAACAAAATTTCAAAGAGAGCTTGTGTAATCACAAAAACTCAGAGAAGGCCCCCATCGAATTCACCAATGGACCAGGACTATACAAACCATGGTATTGTTTTGATCGTTTAAAGTAAGCCTAAAACAATTTTTAAAATCATTTGGCGTTATTTTTCACATCAAAGCAAACAGGACAACACGCCGTCTTAGATAAGACTCTTCTAACTCTTCTGGAATAAATATAGTAGCGTTAACTTATCACCTAAGCACCCATACAGTGGCGTCACTCTTCTCGGTTTCAACTTTTTTCAAATATGTTCCAATATATTCTATTTTGTTGAACCAATACAGTGAAGTGATTATCCACTTTTATTGATTATTTTTACTCAAATGTAAAATAAGTGTCAATTCTATTTTAAAATCCCACAGTTTATGGCATTTATTCAATTGTTATTGCAAATTTTACTAGATTTCGGGGGCCGCTAAAAATCAACCCATCCTTTATAAAATCTATAATATCGCATTCTATGTATTTCTTGGAATGTCTCAGTATTGTAAGAAGTCAATCCAGTGAACTTGCACATCAGGTTCTTCTAATAGCGGTCCAGCGAATGAGTTCTACCTTGACGGTGCGCCACGTGTTCACGTGCTTCTAATTATTCATTCAAATCTTTACTGAATACAAATAAAAGTCTAGTGAAGTCATTCCTGCTGAAAGCGTATCCAAAATATAAAAAAAAACATAAGTCAAATTTAAATTTAAATTGATTATATTTTCAAAGATTGTAACGGTAAAAAACAAAGTTTTCCCCTTGTGGTCAATTAGGTAGTTATTTTGCCCCAAAGATATACGTAAACTATCATATTTCTAGGATAATCGTTAGAGTCGTTTACGAAATATCCTTCCAGTTTCCACTCATTTTTTTTTATTTTTTACTAAGCCCATTCAATATGCAAGCTATTGGAATGAATTATAACAACAAATCT